GCGGGGCTCCGGCCGCCGCGGATGGGAGGCGGCGCCTGGGTGGGCGAGCCGCGGCGCCGCGACCACCATGGGAAACAAGCAGACCATCTTCACGGAAGAGCAGCTGGATAGCTACCAGGTGAACCCCGCGCGCCCCGGCCCGCGAAGCGGCACCCCGGGCCCCGCGCCTCTGTTACCCATTGCTGGTCACGGCCTCTGTTCAAATCCTACCTCTACCTTCAATTCGCAATATGACCTTGGGCCGGTGACTTCCCCTCACCTTGCCTTAGTTTCCTCATGCGTGGAATGAGAGTGCTTTTTAGCTGAACTACTCTCTCCGGCGCTCCTCGCGCTTCCCCATTCGGCCTTCTTGTTCCCGTCCACAGACAGGACCCAGCCCCTCCGGCAGCCACCCATCCACGCGCCCACCTGGCACGGAGATGATGGGTTCAGCAATGCGGGACTGGACTGTGTGCCCTCCTCTCCTCTGTCGTCTGGTAGAGCAGAGGCAGACCGGGAGAGTTAGTCTGTGTAGCAGACATTAGCTGGGGCCCCATCTGGGCCAGGCGTGGGGTTACCGGGCCCTCAAATGTGGTTTTACGTTACTACCTTGGTCTTTGTAGGCAATCTGGAAATAATTGGAGGAAAAGGGCCAGCTAGAAACTTGCCTGACAAGGCTCAGCTCCCCCAAACCCCTCCAGGGCTCCGCACATCCCCGCCTCCCCCACCGCAGGCAGTTTATTCGATTTCTACCAATGGCAGCCCCAAGTGTGTGGGAACCAACTGAGCTCCACTGGGTTCTGAGGCTCCTCCAGGTGGATTCAAACGTCCAGCCTTTGGGTTAGCATCAACTGTTAGCACCACCTCCGGGCTGGCCTCTGACTTGTCTCAGAGGACAGCGTAGAACTGGCTCCGTGGCTTGCTAAGGCTGTCGTTCTTTATGGGAGTAGAAAACCCCCTTTCTGGTGGTTAGTAGCCCACTATGTCTCCAGGACCGTCACCGCCCCAGCAAGCTCTGCGAGTCCGAGAGCCCAGTGCTCTCCTGCCCACGTGCTGATTTTTCTACATTGCCCACCTCCTGCAGGAAGAAGCCCCGCTGCTTCCTTCTGCAACCACTACCTCCAGCCCTGTCCCTGCTGCTCTGCACACACACACACACCCCTGCCCAAGAACTATTCGCAGTTCTTTGCTCACTCCAGGAGCCCTGGTGGTTCAGCGGGTGCTAGCCAAAAGATCAGTGGTTTGAACCCATTAGCTGCTCCCCAGAAGAAAAACGAGGCGGTCTGCTTCCCCAAGGATTCACAGCCTCAGAAATCCTATGGAGCAGTTCTGTAGCTTGCTGGGAGATGAGGTAGATCCCCACCCCACCCCAGTGGGCTTGGTTTTGCCCACAGTTGCCTTGGCCTGGGTGCCTGCTCCCTTCTCTCCAGGTGACCTCTAATCCTTTAAGGCCCAACTCTGAAGATTATTCCCGGCTTCCCCCAGGCAGCGGGGCTGCACGGTGTGTCCTCTCTGAGTTCTTGGCAGAGATGAATGCGTCCAGCCGGGTCTCTGTCGATGTCTGTGGCTTTCTTGTGTCTTTATTCTGGTGGGAAGGAAAGGGCGTGTAGAATGGGAACCCTCTGATGGAGTGGAGGTAAAACACGGGACCCTTCTCCTCCAGGGAGCCCTGGGTGTCCGTAACCCAGGTTTCTCGGCTCCTTGTGTGAGGCCCTGAGAAGGAAGACGGGAGCCCCCGTGGGTCCCTGGGAGTGGGGATCGACCCAGTGGCCATGAGTTTGGAGTTGGTGTGTGTGTCTGACAATGTATGAGATGCCCTGTGCACATCAGCTCACTTGATCATCACACACAAAAACCAACCAAACTCACTGCCGACTCACAGACCCCACAGGGCAGGGTAGAACTGCCCCTGGGAGGTTCCGAAACTCTTCCATTCTTTGTAGGCATAGTAAGTCCCGTCTTTCTCCCATGGAGCCACTGGTGGTTTCAACCCGCTGACCTTGCGGGTCATAGCCCAACGAGTAACCCGTTTACCACCAGGGCTCTGTGTGAGGTGGCTTCTTAGTCGTTTGTTCTTGTTGTTGGCCAGTCTGACCCAGTGGCTGCCCCACGTGCACAGAACAGGGTTTTTGAGCCTCTGACCTTCCACAAGCAGATTGCTAGACCTGCCTTCTGAGGAGCCTCTGGGTGGGTTAGAACTGCCAACCTTCCAATTAGTGGTCCAGTGCTTTAACTGTGGGTACTCCACTTTGCAGCTGGTGGTCCAGGGCTTTAAGCTTGGGTGACCCGCTTTGTAGAGAAGGAAGCTGGAGGCCTAAAGCAGGATTCCCAACTTCCGTGTTGGAAGACCTGGGCTTCATTCCTGGCCATTGGGCCTCTTGTGCATCTACCACCTGTGCTTATGGTGCTCTTCAGGTTCCAGTGGAACTTCCAGACTACGGCGGGAGAAAGGCCTGGCAACCTACTTCAAAAGTCAGCCATTGAAAACCCTTCCCAAAAAGCCCTTCCAGGTAGAGGGGGCAGGGTGCATATACCCTGGGAAGTGGGTGCAGGCAGGCACACTGACCAGACCTATAAGTGAAGTGAGAGCCTGGGTTCCTTCTCAGACCAGCCTGGCATTGGGTTACCCACCTGAGCCAGCCCAGTGTTGGGTTCTGATCCTTGGCCAGCGCTGGCTCACCCCCGCCCGCCCGCCTGCCCACTGGGGCAGAAGCAATGAGAGCAGAGAAACCCGAGAACCCACAACCTTCCCTCTGCTTCTCCAGCCAGGGCCAGGCAGAGGGGGTGGAGAGCCCTGGAGCCACATACCCTAGTGAACCCCTCAAGCCTGGTAGTGAGTGGGCTTCCAGGGCGGGGTACCCCTCTCCCCAGTGCCCACATGTGTGCTGGTCATTCCTCCAGACTCACCTCCTACCCAGACCTTGGCATTCCAGGTCAGTCCCCTGCAAGCCAGCATGTCCTAAGCAGGGTGCACCTGCTACCCCGGAACCCTCTGCTGCGGCGGCTGCTTCCACCCACCTTCCTGCCCTACCCCAGCCCCTGTTCTCAGTTAAGACTAAGTCCTACGACTCGGCCTCTTTCATGCCTCACCTTGGGGGGTCCCACCCCTCGGTGCCCACAGCCCAGCCCTTGGCCTGGCCTCCTCTCTGCCCATCTCCAGCTGCCCAGCCCATGGATTCTCTCACTCCTTCTCCTCCCTCCCTCTTCTTCTACCAGACACAATGTGCATCACCTTCATGAAGAGGTTTCCCCCCTGGGATCCAAGAATCCTCTTGTAGCTGTGTGAACTGAGTCCCTTTGGGCTCAGGAGACCCTAGGGAGTTGTTCTTAGACTGTAGGTGCCGGGACACTCTTTCTAAAACATAGCCACCGGCCTCCCCTCCACAGGCCTGGGGCACAGCAGTATGAAGCAAGGGCTCAGCACAGCCTGGTCTGGGCTCGGCCTCATCCGAGCAGATTCCGGGCATGCCGGGAGGGCTTCTAGCTGAGCACCTCTGTCCGACTCTCCGGTGTCCCACCTCTTCACCAGCCTGGCCTGGCCTCCACCTCCTGAGGAAGAACACCCTGACTCTCCCGCCCCTGTTCCACTCAGCTGGGTGCATTCAGTCACCACCCCACCCTTCACCCCGCCCCCCTCCCGCATCCGCCATGTGTCCCTTCCCCAGGCACAGAAGAGGCACTCAGAGCATGCTGGAAAATGAATGAACCAACAGCCCTTGTTAAGGCCCCCACTCTCAGGAGAGAAGAGCACTCCAGACAGGGATTCTGGAACCCGGTTGTAAACAGACAGTCGATGCTGTGGGCCTTAGCAAGTCACTGTCTCCTTCTGAGCCTGAGTGTGGCTCCCCCACACCCCTAGGATGGGGACAACCAGTAACCCTGCTGTGCTCTTGTGGGAATCAACTGAGTTCTCTTTGGAGCTTGGCTGAGGGCCGACGAGATGGTCAGGAGGACTGGGGGCGGCCTGAGCTGGCATAGCTGGACGGAGAGTGGGCATCCATCCGCTCCAGCTGGGACCTGGCTGCGTCTTGGCTCCTGCCGCTGGGAGGCTGCCTGGAGGAGGTAGCCCTGGAGTTGAACTCTGAGGGACACAACGGATTTGGACCAGCTGGAAAGACGGGGCTTTCTACTCCCGTAAAGAGTGACAGTCCCAGAAACTGGCAGGGCAGCCCTGCCCTGTCCTGTAGGTCTCTGTGGGTTGGCATGGACTCGATGGCAGTGTATTCGGTTTTCATTTGGCAGAAGGAGGAGGGATTAAGGTGAAACAGGCTTGGAGGCAGAACGCCAGTCGTTCACTGTAAATGCCCAGCCTCCCTGCCAGGCTGCCTTCTGCTGCCAGAGTCCAGAGGGCCCACCCTCTGGGGCTAGGCCCCTCCTTCCCCCCTCCCCCTCCCCTCATGACCATGACCTGAGCGGGGGGTGGGGGGGATGTCCTTTGCCTGAACACCCATCGTGATGACTGTCTGAAAGCCAGCAGTGACGGCCTTTGTGCTCAGAGAGGAAAAACTCCTCCGGACATGTCGCTATAGTGGACAGCCCTGTCTGGAATGGGGCAGGGGCTTTGGTGACTCCAGAGTAGGGGCGCACATAGGGCTGCAGGTCCCAGTGGAGACCACAGCGACACGGGGTAGTGGCTGCCATTGTTGAACCCCCATCAGCTGTCGGCTTCCTGCACTTAACCCTTATCTCCTCGGTTCTCACTCTACCCCTTTCTGAGAGGCACTGTGTCCATTTCACAGGTGCAAAAACAGGCTCAGGAAGCAGGCAGGCTTGCTAAGGGTGGGAAAGCATTGGTTCTCAAGCTATGGGTCGAGACCCCTTTGGGGGTCAAACGACCCTTTCACAGGGGTTGCCCGATACATAACAGTAGCAAAATGACAGTTATGAAGTGGCATTGAAAATAATCTTATGGTGGGTGGGGGGTCACCACAACATGCGGAACCGTATGAAAGGGTACGCCATTAAGAAGGCTGAGAACCACTGGTCCAATGCAAGATTGGCACTTGAACTGGCTTCTCAACCAGCTGTCCGTTTCCTCTGCCAGGCTGTTCAAAGTCTCAAAAAGCTTTCAGGGCCACCGGCCACATGACACCCTACATTGTAGGGCCTATAAGCTGCTGCCTTGTTCCCAGGCCCAGG